CATTATAAGAAGTTTTTCACACAATTCATTAAATAAACATTTTCGAATGTTTTCACACCAAAACAATAATTGAATTTTAACGTTTTATGTTCTCAGTGTAGGTGACCCGTCTGCTCATCTGCCCCCTCTTCCATAAAAAAAAAAACATAATAAACGCAGATATAGTACAGAATTTAAAGATTATAGAACAAATTCATTTTAATTTTATTAAATAACAACGTCAAATAAAGTTTTCTTAATATCACCTGTCTTAATAAGTTGTATATAAATAAATTTCGTTTGGGTTTGGGTCGAATTTTGTATTTAGATGTAGTTTTTGCTATTTAACTTACAATAACCTGACCTCAGTCATCTAGATACTGTAAATAGAAAAACATACCTTACAGCAGTCGTATATACAGGGTATGGTGACATCTGATATCTCACCTGCCAGTCGACGGCTAACTTTAGCTGCACTCATTAGTAAAATCATAAAGCGCGCGCTTTTCTGTCTTGTTACATACTTCCGTCCCTTTTACTAAATCTTTCTCACAGATTGCAGGAAAGATGTTACACATCAAAAATAAAATAATCATAACTAGGTACTATTATGTTATTAAGACATTAAATAAATTCTCTCGAAGTTTAATAAAAATATACGTATTGCTGTGGATGTGTGTGCATTGATTGTGTTGATTGTAATCTGATATTTAGTGTGAGTACACTGTTACTTTAGCCATATTTTAAAACATAGAAGGTAGGGTTTGATGGATACATCATGATAAGTGGACGCGGAAGAGAGGAAGATGTATGCATTCAGGCAACGCATCTCATTTGTACAGTTATCCCCGAAGTAAAATTTGGAAATAGAAATAAAAAATATATATATGTTTGACATCTAACCTTGACACGTGTATTGCAAATATAAAGTACCATCGACTTCTGTTCATTCTTTCTGTCGAATTTCAATAAACTGTATTCTACAGTTTTTAATTTTCTTATCGAAGTATATATTTTTATCGAATTTGAGAGGTAACTAATGGTAAGAATATCCTCCCAAATAAAAAAAAGAAACTATTAACTGGTTCATAAATGTCGGTGGTCTATACCATAAAATAATACTACAAAATAAAGCACCTAATCCTTTTTTTTAAGTCGGTTAAAAATGAACAACGGTTTAAATGAACAACAAAATAGATAATAAAAGTGTATCTATAGATTTGTAATAACAATATGTTTATTAAGTAATTTTGAATTTAACTATTGTATTCCTCATATAAAAAAAACTAATTCTTGATAAAAGCAAGTCACCTAAACCATTTTGATTGCAAAAAATACTTTATACAGTTTCAAAACATTTTACAGACAGAAATACACAATCCCTATCACAGACTAGATTTTCAATTTATAATACCAAAAATAATAGACAAATACCATTTTTATTGTTTCTGGTAAAAATAGCGTTGTTTACAGTTTCAATTGTTTATTAATGGAAGACATTGCTTTTGCATAGATGAGTCCCCAACAAACTTTGGGACCAAGTATTTGACAAAGAATACACATTAGGAACATCGCTACTTTTGGAATTCCTTTTGGAAGAACTTTTAAGATATTTCCTGTATAAAACGTTCTGTTCACGCCTTTATAATAAGTGTGCACCCCTATATCTTGCAAAATTATAGAATTCATCTGATCCATTTCCATATTTATGTCGGAGAGCAACAATTGAATTTTATAATAAGCCTGTTAGTTTCATAACGTTAAATAATAATGAGCGGGGGTTTGGTCTGCGTATTCTTTCGTACATCTATATATAAATTCCAACTTTAAACAACACTATTTACATTCGATTTTTGTGTAACAAATTGATGCAAGTTGAATAGCAGAACCATACTGACTAAGACAATAAATTACAATTTGAAATCATTTAGAGTATTCCTTTTTGAATTTCTTTAAATATTAAATAATAATAATATATCAAATTTCTTTTTTAATTATAAACCACGTGTTTTAGAACAAGTCGGAGATGTGAAGTTAATTATCCATCTGTCTTGGATTTAATTCGGTTGGATGCTGGTAGACATGACCCGCTTCAATACGCTAACAGATAATTCTTGATTTGTTTTTTATGGAAGAGGGGGGCAAACGACCAGACGGTTCATTTAATGGAAAGTGACTTCAGCCGCCCAAAAACGCCTGCAACTCCTGAGTCACAAGCACGTTGCCGGCCTTTTAGAAAGCAGTACGCTCTTTTCTTGAAGGTCGTATCGGTTCGTAAATACCGCAGACGATAACTTGTACCACAGATTGGTTGTGCGAGGCAAAAGTGTCTTAAAAACGCATAGTAGTGGAGTGTCAATCATCCAAGTGATGGGGATGATTATTGTACCACACCACTAATTCTACAAGAGGGTGAATGATATAATGCGTCTGTATACTAAAGAGTTAGTTATAAATGGTACTACCAAGTTACTTATCGAAATGAGTTTGTCCAGTTTGAATTAACATATTCGCTAGCAGTTTAAAAAAGGTTCAGTGTTAAAAATCTTTCGAAAACTATTGCAATGTAGGAGAAGGTGGTGCCCTAGAAAGGGTTTCGGGGTTTACTCGAAAGCAGCAGTTTAAAGGAATACCTTACATCTTATTGAGTACCTCCACCGTGTGTGAGCCCTACATGTAGGGTCCAGTATCTAGGGCAGCCGATCAGATTAGCATAAAAAAAAACATGGTAACACACTCGAGCGTGTAAGATCAAGGTAGGGTGGGTTATTTACATGTGTATGGTTAAATAATCTAACGGAGGAGCACAAAGTTGCAGAAAAAAACATATGCCTTGACATTCTCGAACACGGTCGATTTTTTCGAGTTGTGTTACGTGTACCAACGTGCTATAAGAATGAGAAGGGCTAATATTTTAGTAGGAAGTATAATTGTTGTACTTTAGAAAAACTTACCCAAGTCGATAAGCGTGCAGTAATTTGGGTATGGGGGTCTGAGGTATCAGTTAATTTTAGAAAAGGGGTCTCTTACCCAAAAAAGTTCGGGAATCCCTGATTTAATTTTCACGACTTTAAATACTGCAATACGAAATATATTTATAGATATTCTTAGCCTGCAAAATAATTGTCAGGTTTTTAACTAGAAATCTGCCTTTTTTTGCATTTCCTAAAATCGCTACGAGCTCGTATCACTTTCAAATCGTCAGACCTTTTAATAGGAGCATTTTTAAGATTCAATTAAGATACCCTCTAAATATGTGATGATTTTTTTTTAATGTTCTCCCTACTTGACCAACAATATTTGACATGCTCAAGTATTACCATGTAACTTTTATCTTTTACATTTTTTAATTCCTATGGACGATTCCCGCACCGGTGCAAGTTGAAACATTATGACTTTAATCATTATATAATTTAGTCTCTGAAATGCAATGGGTCCAAATGACGCTCCGGTAAATCCACATTGAGCATCATGGGCTCCCCTGCTATAGGTTCTCATTTCAATTTGCATCTACTTGTATACAATATATAAAATAAACTCAGATCTATTAATCATCTAATCTTGAATTTTGATTGCACATCACATTCATTTTAACCTGCCATTATTTAAAAAAAGAAAATAAACTGATTAATGTACTTAACGAAAGCTTATTCGACAAAGATACAGCCTAAAAATATAATAGTTTAACTATCAATTACGTCAGAAGGCACTCATTCAATTTGTATTCTGAAGACCGATTACGTTATTGTATATTCAGATAACTAAGTCTATATGTGCGTATTACTGGTTCTAACAATTAAGAACCATTTTAATAGGAAGCGCAATATCGTCATTGGCTGTGACAACTGTTTACAGTGCTATTAATATAAAACGAAAACAAAAAAGGAACACTGCTCGAATGAGTGGCCAGTGACAATACTGATAATTATTTGACCACAAACAAAACTTAAATGCTGAAACCTATATAGACATTGTACATTTCATTACAAAATCCGCCTTTCAGTGTCGTAAAAACCTGTTGATATGTACAAGAGGATAACTAACTATCCTAAATTGCCCTTAAGTCTATGCTAGTTTACAGGAAAAAACATGGTTCCATCCTTGTCTTTTTACACCATAATGTCCTAAATTTTAGAACATTCACTATAATACAAAAATGAATAAATCAGTTTCATAATTATTGCCATCGAAATTAAGTAGTTCCCAAATTGTCTACACCTAATGGATAGTAAAAAAAAAAATAAGGCTCTATTGTAAGGCAGTCGTCTATTCATAAATAAAGCTTTCCAATCTGTTGGCATAATTATTTTTTTCATTTAGGCTCAGATTTCACTCCAATATTTAATTTGATTTGGCTGTCTAGATACAAAAATCGATATGTATTCACATAGTATATTGTTTTGTGAATAGATTTTTTAATCTGGCAAGACCTTTCGAACTTTGTACTTAGAAACATGCGAGATTACGGTCATATTTATTGCCTTACACATCATATCAAGGATAACTGCCAGAATAAAATATTCGATTATTGTATCTCACATGTTGATAATATTACCTGCACCAGTATGTCCTTGTTACCAAAATTGTTTACAAAACAAGTTGTTTACACTATACACATTTACACTTCAGATTTAAGTATCCAAATCTACACAAAATGTATAGCATTTGTCCCGCAAGCATGTTAGTGTGTAATTAAAAACTGTAAACAAACGGTATGATTTTTTTCCTAATCCTTCATTATCATGGCTGTAAATTTTCAAATGACACCTGCATAAGAGATGGTGGATTAAGAATATTGCTATATTTCAGTCGAAGTACCAAAACAAAAGAGTCTTTAACCACACACTAACACACCCAACTCAGTCTCAATTCACACTTCACTGGTTATCACTTCTCAACGTAAGTACGTAGTGTTTGACTTAGCACACACTATTGAACCAAACGACCATCACACAATTATTCACAATTCACGGTCATTTCTTAAGCCACACGACCATGGGTTCGTCTGGTTCACGCTTTACTCAGTCTAACTGCTGCACTTGGACCACGGAAGTCGGTTGCGGCGGCAGTGAGATCTCGTACTTGATGAGCCCGTTCCGACCCGCGGACAGGACTAGACCGCCGATGTCTTTAGCGTCACCACTGTGGATAAAATAATTTCATATAATGTATGCTAAACAAATATTCGAGAACTATCGAACATAATTCACAATTCACTTACCTGGTAGTATGTTGTCTAGCATTATGGTGTTTCGTGTGTGGTATGTGAGTGATCTGCGGCTTGGTGTCTCTGCCCACTATGTGCAGCTGCGGTGTCACCAACCGGCGGCCCACGCCCACGGTGCCCACAACTATTTGATTGCCTATCACTTGCCCAGATCTGTTTGTAACCTGCAAAAATGTATTATGATTAGAAATGAAACTAATTTGCTTGTTACTTTAGTTTAACGTCCTAGTAATAATCTTCAAAGACTGTTTTTCCGTTATGAGTGGATGATTTGGAATAGTAAACATAACGGAAAAACAACACACAACTCATAACGGAAAAACAAACAAACAAAATAAATAAAATTAAATAGCGTATTTACAGTATTATGTCAATATTCTACTAATTTCTACAGAGGCTTCTACTCCTCTGCAGAATTAGCTTACAGTAATAAATGCGTAGTACTTCATCAAATAAACACTATTACCATTGTATCTACATAATTTTCCCTACTACAAAAATATAAAAAAGAAATAAAAGAACGAAATACCAAAAAGGAGCATTATAGATGTGTTGAAATATGAACATTATATACAGAATGGAAACCATCTAAAAATACATGACTAGTAATCTGCACAAAACCCTGGTAGTTTCTGTTTTGCTAATTAGTGTAGTTTCTTGTATTGTGAAAATAATAACTATAAAAAGTAGCAGTAAAATAAAATAAAAACCTTTTTATGTATACATACATTTGAAGAAAATGTTGCCAAGAAAGTGTTAGGTATGGGAGTTGAAAGACAAGAGAAGAGGAAGGCCAAAGAAAAGGTGGATGGACTGTGAGAGTGAGGATATAGCTAGGAAGGGAGTGAACAGTATCTCACTGTTCACTCCCTTCCTAGCTATATCCTCACTCTCCATGATAGAGTAGAATGGTATGATAGAGTAGAATGGAACAATCATACTTACGCCGACTCCAAATAAAATTGGGACAAGGTTTACACAGATGATGATACATTGACATAGGTAAACTTTTTGGAGAACCGACGGTTAATCGGCAATTAAAGGCGATGTGAGTTTTCGTAAAATACTGAACGAAAATGTGAGCGGTGGGTAATTAACATACTGGAATAACAAAACTACTGATCAGTCTCTACACAAAATATCAAATTAGGAGCTGTTACCATAGATCAATAAAACATAGACCGATAACCAATAAACAAAATGTGTCCGCTGGAAAAAAAGGAACTAGGTACGTGACTTGTTGGAAAATAAATGTTATTAAAAATTTACATGACTGATAAGTCTCTGCGCCCTTACTCTGTGGCAGGGATTCCCAAAGTGGTCGATATCGACCCCTTGGGGTCGAAATCGGTTTCCCAGGCGTCGACATAAACTAAAACTGATATTAGGGGGCCGACGAGGTCTTAAAATCGACCCCTATTAATTAACACAAGTTCTTATTTTAGACTTTCAAGACAATGTATAAATTGTGTTTTGTGTACCAACTTGTTATAAGACTGATTAATATGTCTATTTATTCTGTTAAATTATGATGAGAAAATGATGTCAAATTTACTCACTTAACCAAGAGCAAATTTCTTCAATTATAAATACTTTATATCAATAGGGAAAAAACTAGAGAATTTTAGAGTAATTTGGCTATGGGGTCTGAGGTATCAGTTCATTTTGGAAAAGGGGTCTTTTGCAATATAGTTTGGGAATCCCTGCTCTATGTGGTAATGGAGCAGAGACATGTCATGACAGACAGACATAACAGAGAATACTGAACACATCATGAGAGACACTCATGATGTGATCAATATTCTCTACTTTTACATTATTATTGCCTGTTATTCATTCAAGTAAGTCATGGAGAAAGGTTCATTCAGGACATTTTAAATACAAAGAAGCTTAACCAGGGTAGATCAAGTCTAAGGACGCTGACGCTGACTACTGGTGGACGATCAAAAGAAGCTACCGAAAGCTAAATATTTCAGAAAATCGTAGACCTTTTCTTTACAAACCACATTATTCACATATTTCTAGAGAACCATTCATTTTTCTTCACCAAATAAAATTGATACGTGATTTTAAAAAAGTGCGTTTCTTTATTCCCAATACCTAATACATAGCAGAAACACTAAAAAGTTCGTATATCACAACCAATATTAAATTTTGTTGACCAGTGTTATTCGTCTTATCACTTAAGTTCAACTGACTTTCAAAGGAGGCTGACCGATTTGGGCCAAGGTGCGGACAGCAGTTTTATAAATAAATGAATATGGTCATATTTTTCTTTTATTATAAAATAATTATGAGTACAATTTGGTAGTATCAAGTGAACATATATAAAAAAAGTATTTCAAAATATTTATCATTATTTATGACGTACATCCGTTCATTTTGTGAGCGAAACGTGTCGTAAGTGTTGCATACAAAAAAAAAGTAGTGGAAAAAGTGATTCAAAAAAACACACTAATAAATAATAGTCTCACTTACAAAGTACTTTGAAGTCTGTAATACCTACAAGATATAATTATTTCTATTTTCTATATATATATCTTCTTTTAAGACAAAATATATGTCAAAAAATCAATTGTGATGAAGAACATTAAACAGCACATGGGTATATTTTTTCTTACTCTAACAACATTTGACTAATGTCATTTCTGGCATTGGATTAGGCGCGCACGGTATTACTATTTGTTATTTGTTTATTTTTGGATATTCTATTCAAAATGGATTTAAACAATTCTTCTCACGACAACATATGTTAGCATGTGGAACATATCAAATAAAACAGGCTAGATCATATTTTGGAGAACACATAAGAAGTGATGGTTCATATACAGTCAAAGTTTAAGCCGACAATTCCCCATTATTAAGGACCAAAATACAAAGCAGACACATAAGTAGGAAAACATATTTTATTTATAAATTATTTGACAGTAATATAGAGAATTTAAATGCAATTAAAGAGTATTACGGTAACTGCATTGTTGGTCGAAGAACTGTGGGTTGTTGCTCTCACATTATGTCCGTAACCTGGTATCTAAGTTGGGCAAGGTATGAGAATGTTACTCCTCCAGCTCAGTTTCTGGATAATATTTTGATTGTGTATGAGAGTGATGGTGACGACAATTGAAATTAAATGTTTGCAAAAATCAAAGCTTTTTTTTTATAGGCCTGGATACTAAATTAATTATTTTATTGGTTTCTACAGAGCTTCAGCTACTACCTAGTAACGTTTTTATTTCAATATTAAAATGTCCACCCCTTGGCCCAAGTCCCATACAAAGCTATCGGTGTCCTTTCAAACAATATATGTCATGCCTCAATTGTCTTTTCTGAAATTTCATAACAAACAAGTTTTCTTTTATAAATTTCTTACCACCATTTTTTGTAGATTAAGTACCTCAGTACTGAACTGTAATCAACAGTCATCAATACCTACATTATAACACAACAAAAAAGACACATATAGTCTGTTTTTTAATCTCGTAGACTAAACTGACATTACGAGTGTTGTCAGTTTATTGCAATTCTTAAATAGTGATGTGGCACAACCGAAACTTAGCGTTAATAAAATCAAGTATCGTTTTTTTACAATAAGTTATCCTGAAATAATGTGTTTATCCTGAAATAATGTGTAGGTACTTATTTAAAACATAATAATACAAAATTAATAATGTAAAACATATATTTTTAATTAAATAACTTAATTACAGGTATTCGCGTTAATCTGATTCAGATAATGACTCCATGTCTGAGGAATATTATGAGTCATCAGAATCGCCACCTACTTCTATGATAAACCTATCAGTAATGTCGTCGGTTATATGGCCCAGATGACACATTTGATCTTCAATTTTAATTACATGGACTACACAGTCTTTCCACCGCTGCGGGGTCACTTGACGAAGCCCTTCTTCAAAAAGGCTTCGTACTTCATTCATTTTGAATGTTCTATTATTTTTAGTGACATGCCCCTTTACTTGAGCCCAGACCAACTCAATCGTTCGAATTACGTATTCGTACAATTGTTCGTATGGTGTCAAGTTCCATAATTGCCGTATTTTTTAAGTTCTGCCGTTTCGTAAGAGAAAAGGGTTAAGATTGCCGTTTTAACGCGTACGGGAACAACACTGATGGCGTCTATAATTTTTTTTTTGTTTAATCTTAAGGCATCGAAACATGGTCGGGTTACGCATGGCGTTGCGTGGTCAGATTTCCCTGGCAGTTTGTAGCACGTCGTGCAGCCGTGTGTACGTACGTGAATTTTAAATGTAAAACTTTGAATGAAAATTAAATTCGTCTATTATAAATAAAAAGTTACGATTCAACTAACCGGTATCGTAGGTACAACACTGCACAAAAGAGCTGGCAACATTATTTGTAAATTTGACATTTGCATGTGTCAATTTAGTCTACGAGATTAAAAAACAGACTATAGTTTAATCTCGTACAACTATTCAATCCCCTTTTTTTTCCGTGCGGAAATCCCCTCGGATACCACCTATCGGTGGCATGTCGGACTCGAACCGACTAAAACCGCACGCCGTCTCGGGTACTAATAGCCGGGGAACCAGGTATACCCTAGAAAGGAAGTCCCTGGTGCTACTATTTAATCCCCTGAAAAAAAAATTGGAACAATCCAATCTGATTTTGACACGATCCTAATAATTTTTAATAAATTACTGTTTGACTGTATCGCTGCACCCGCCGAACGGAGCGGAAATAAATACGGCAATGTTGACAATATTTTGGTTGGATTTTTCAAGGAATAAGAAATGGTTAGATCTGTTTTTTGTTTTTTGAATAGAGGGGCAAACATGCAGATAGATTATCTGATGGTTATCGGTCTATTGTTTTATTGGTATATGTGTTTACTTAATTCTCTAAGTACAGGTAATACCAACCTACTGTATTTTAATTCAACTACGTTAGGAAAAAAACAGGTACACAAGTTTTAAAACTTGCCAGAAACAAGCCAGTATCATGCATCTTCGATAAATTCGAGCAATGATATGTTAGGATATTATTTGATCTTCCGTTTATTCTCCTTGCAGAGTGACTACCTAATATTTTTTCCGGTGCCAGTTCTGTCGAGGAATACAGCATTAAAGGAGGAGAAGGATAAGCTCTTTATAAGGTTGCCGTTATTACCCGGTACTTCCCGAGCTTTAAATAAATAATTTAGAGTAGCATATTCCGAAATATATACATGGCCGTCATTAACAAATGTTACTTCGAAACGAATTGTATTAATTTGTCTTTAAAAATTTAATAGAATCTAAATATACAACAATCCTATAATAGATTAGAAGGCAATACTTACTACTTGTATGTGTGTTGCCTGTTGATGGTCTTGATCCATCTCAAGGCTATTCTGATGTTGTTGTTGTTGCTGCTGGTGTTGTTGTTGTTGAACTTGCTGTTGCACCTGCTGTTGAACTTGCTGCGCTTGTTGCGCCGCCTGTTGCGCTGCTTGTTGCTGAGCTTGTTGTTGCGCTTGCTGCTGGGCTTGCTGTTGAGCTTGTTGTTGGGCTTGTTGTTGCGCTTGTTGCGATACGGGTTGTACTTGTTGCTATTGATAGTGATGAGTTACAGTTTTTAATTAAATACTTATAAGGAGGATACCTAGAGCAAAAACAAGAAGGTGAAAATTCTACAATTTCGGGATCAGCCATAATAAACTTGATTAGACCACTCCTTGGCATACCTTGGATCGTCTGAATCAGATTCCCAAGATTGATTTAATACCAGTACACAAACTAATATGCCACCTCAATATAAACCATTCCCTAGACTTATAGAAGCTTAATCAATCTCATCAAATGTTACTGACTACAATCTTTCTACCAAGGTCCGTTGACACACATAATATAAGAATCACATTTGATGATATCTAGCTTCTAATTAGAAATTATAGAATGTATTAAAAGTTTCTTATCATGACTTTAAATGAAAATAAGTTTTAGACACTTTTGAAAAGAAGGTGTTTCGGTACCTCAATGTGGTAATAAAAAAACTCACCTTTATGACAAATTCTAATAAGTAGATTTTAGTCATCCGATCAGCAAGTTGACAACAGAGACGTTGAAAATGTTTAATAAATTTAAATTAACTTACTACTAATTTGCTATAATACAAAACATTAATATTTTCGCAATTGAAATTTGCAGTTCCAATTTGGTTTCCATTTTTATATATGTAGGCATCAAAGAAACTACCGCTCAAGTTTGGCTCTATCTTACCCTGAAACCCTTCTAATAGTTAGTGTGAATTTAATAAACGATGTTGCTTTTTACATTTTTGTATATACGGGATACACATACGGGTACAGTTCTGGGCGGCAGGTCCATATGCTGTCTCTGATGCAACATAAGATGATTCTTCTGGAAGAAGGCCTTCCCACATTGGTCGCACACGTGGGTGCGGAGGGTACAGCTGCCATCGGGATGCCTGTCACGACACAAAATATGCCTGTAGCAAATATTCTAATACGGACTCGTCTTATAATGATACATTGAAATTATCTTTAACCATAAATCAAATGCTATAACAGGCGAGACAGGTCTGTCTTGTCGTGTCAGGAACAATATTCGTACATGATGATATAACATCTGACCTCTCACCTTCCATCTGACGGTCAACTTTAGTACCGCGCGCGCTCATTGGTCAAATCAAATAACGCGCACTTCTCGGGCTTCTTGTTACACATTTTCGTCCCTTTTCACAAAATCACTTTCATTGCAGGACAGCGAGGGTTAGTGAGTGTGACATACACACAATATTTATAACCGTAAAATTTTAAATTTTGTTTATAATTTTCTTGCAAAACGGTTAAAAACAATAATTTCCGTTATCATTAGATGTGATTTCAAATTACCTTCTTTGATGTGCTAATAGACCATGTTTAGCTGCGAAACCTTTTCCACACTCGCCGCAGAAATGTATTTTCGGCCGTGGAGACGTCACGTGATGATTCTGAAACGAATATTAAAGTATATTGATACTGTTTTCCAATTGTTTTCAATATTTTAAAAAGGGAATACGATATTGCAGTTTTTATTCAATTGCCAAATTTAAAATCCATATGTGTGAAATCGTTCAAATATGATTTTGACTTGAATTAATTGAACTTAAATAAATAAATTAGCAACTCACTGTAGCTATAACTTGCGTGTGAACAACATTGTTGGGATTTGATGATATTATCTGAATTGGTTGATCTGAAACAGAAATATTGTTTTATTGTATGAATTGAGTCTAGCTTGAGATTAACTTTTTTAGTTAAATTAATTTAGAAGATGATGTACAGTAATAACATTATTATATTATATTGTCGTGTTAATCAGTTCCTTATAAGATGTTAAACCGATAAGCGGATTACCACATCATACTGCTTCTGAAAAATAGTTTTTTTTTTTGTTTGGTTATACAATAGGGTGTTAACCACAAAAAAAAACAAATTTTATTTAATAATTACATATCACACCTAAAAAAACATTAAATTAAAAAAAACTGGTGGATGAAATGGACGCTATATTGCTTTGTGGCCATGGCAGTCGGCTGTGTAAACGAACGTGTTGAGATTTTTTTAATGAAATATTATTCTACCTATCGTCAGTGTGTTGTTCTCGAATGCTTCTTGCATTCCACCAGTGTAATGTGTGTTCATACCAGTGTAAAAATATTGGATGTGGATTTAACAAAGTGGGTTCAACTGACACATTTTAATTTACATAGCCGTATGACGTAATAACATGGCGACTACTATTTCAGGGTGTTAAAATATAGATTGAAAAAACTGAAAACTGATCTAAATTTCAAAAAGTTATTTTATGAACTAAAACTAATATCTTCCGTCACATTCTTGCTATCTTAATAATATATTTTCAGATTTTTTCATTTAAAGTAAAATACCCTATTAATAAATAAGGAATATTGATAAAGCGGCAGTGAATAAAAAGCGGCAGTAGATGAGTGAGTGGTGAGTGAGTGGCGGTACGTACGCTGCGCGTGCGAGGCGTGCGCGGCGGCGACGAGGCCGGGCTGCAGCGCGGCGGTGAGCGCGCACAGGTCGGTGACGCACGTGCGGTCGCCCGCGTGCAGACGCACGTGCAGCGACAGCGCCTCCTGCAACCGCACCACACGGCTTTATCGCCACCGTCCACCAAACGTCCTACTCAAATCGTTAACAAAGTATTTTACGCACTCATGAATTCCCATGATTCCTTCGAAGGATTCCTGAAGAATATACCTAAAAAAATAGTATTCGCATCCCGTATTTTTTTTTTATCAAATAAATACCTTCTGTATGATCCCTAACGACTTATATGAGACTGTTAAACAGTATAAACTTACCCATAATTAAGTAAGGACAAAATTACTACTTCCAAGTATTAACTTAAAAAATCTAACAAATTCACTGATATTTAGAATCAAAATCAGCATTTTATTAAAATAACCAGTATTTAATATTATAATTGTATTAACAATAATTATAATAAAATAAAGAAGTAAAACAAGTAAACATTAACCTATAGTCTGTTTTTTAATCTCGTAGACTAAATTGACACATGCAAATGTCAAATTTACAAATAATGTTGCCAGCTCTTTTGTGCAGTGTGGTACCTACGATACCGGTTAGTTGAATCGTAACTTTTTATTTATAATAGACGAATTTAATTTTCATTCAAAGTTTTACATTTAAAATTCACGTACGTACACACGGCTGCACGACGTGCTACAAACTGCCAGGGAAATCTGACCACGCAACGCCATGCGTAACCCGACCATGTTTCGATGCCTTTAGATTAAACAAAAAAAAAATTATAGACGCCGTCAGTGTTGTTCCCGTACGCGTTAAAACGGCAATCTTAACCCTTTTCTCTTACGAAACGGCAGAACTTAAAAAATACGGCAATTATGGAACTTGACACCATACGAACAATTGTACGAATACGTAATTCGAACGATTGAGTTGGTCTGGGCTCAAGTAAAGGGGCATGTCACTAAAAATAATAAAACATTCAAAATGAATGAAGTACGAAGCCTTTTTGAAGAAGGGCTTCGTCAAGTGACCCCGCAGCGGTGGAAAGACTGTGTAGTCCATGTAATTAAAATTGAAGATCAAATGTGTCATCTGGGCCATATAACCGACGACATTACTGATAGGTTTATCATAGAAGTAGGTGGCGATTCTGATGACTCATAATATTCCTCAGACATGGAGTCATTATCTGAATCAGATTAACGCGAATACCTGTAATTAAGTTATTTAATTAAAAATATATGTTTTACATTATTAATTTTGTATTATTACGTTTTAAATAAGTACCTACACATTATTTCAGGATAAACACATTATTTCAGGATAACTTTTTGTAAAAAAACGATACTTGATTTTATTAACGCTAAGTTTCGGTTGTGCCACATCACTATTTAAGAATTGCAATAAACTGACAACACTCGTAATGTCAGTTTAGTCTACGAGATTAAAAAACAGACTATAAGTTTCAAATTGAAAACAATTCAACAAATCTCACCTTAGTATTGAAGCAGGAACCACATTCAGGACAAGAATAACCAGGCGTTGTTTTTTCACTAACTATTTGGCCGTCAGCACCTATTACCTAATAACAAAATTGTAACTATATCAGAACCAAACTATTTTTTTTAAAATGCAAAAGTCTCTGTTATTTTGAACCTCAAGATCCGAGAGGAAAATTTATAAATCTTTTATATTCAAATCATTCTTTATAATTTGAAATAATTATAATACGAGGTGTATTACAATTAATCCAAATTATAAGAAAATGTTTATAATTAATAGTAATCTATTGGGCTGGTAATATTATCAAAAATTACAGTTTTAATTACCAAAGTTTTAGAACTTTGCGTTTAAAAGTTATTTCAGTTTATAGTTTACATAATAATGTCACAAATAAGTTGTCATTGCTGCCAACAAGTAACCCTTTATTTAAAATCAAAATCATTTACGATTTTCTTGATCCGTCAATAAAATGTTGTCCAATAAAATCAGACCTAACCTATTTGAATAAAAAAGATTAGTACCTTTCCTTAAACTAATTGATTTAAAATAATCATTCCTTTAATACATAGTCTCATCTGTACAGTCAACATTAGTAATAAAAAATGATTCTTATTAGCTGCTAAATACACTAGTGAGCTCATTCATAAATATGTAAACATATTGTTTTTTATATCATTTATATTTTATGCATGACAAGTTTAGAAATCGCAGGAATATGTTTTGTCAACAACACCTAAATGTTTATTTATTGCAGTTGTAAATTATTTTAAGAAGAATTTATATACTTTTAGCGAAGTTCTAAAAATATGATAATTACATGAAAATAGTTTGGATGATTCACTTTATAAATGGTACAAATCTTATAACCTTCCATCATTTATTACTTAAGTGTACAGGATCTGCTGTTCTTCTTTAAATAAAACATTAATTTTACCTGTACAATCTGTGGCTTGAAGTCATCTTGTTTTATAACTGTAACTTGTTGTTGTTGCTGTTGTTGCGCTTGTTGCTGTGCTTGTTGTTGCGCTTGTTGCTGAGCTTGTTGCTGGGCCTGTTGCTGTGCTTGTTGTTGAGCTTGCTGTTGTGCTTGCTGCTGCTGTTGTTGCTGTTGTTGTTGCTGTTGAGTTTGAGATGCACTTAAACAATGTCGCGTCATTTTATAGTGCTCTAGCAAATCCGGTTTACATTTGAAGGCTTCTCCGCATTCTAAGCATGCTACTGCTCCTTCACCCGTATGGACTCTGTAAAGAGTACGATAAATCACATATCAGAAACAACATCAGAAATATTTTATAGTTTTTTGGATATACATATATGTAGATTGTGTTACAGTTTTCGAGTTTAATAGTGTCTAATCTTTGATTTTAAATAAATTATGTAAATCACCTTTGTAAAAGTAAAACATTTATATTAAAAGGGAGATTAAGATGTAAAAGTTTCAACAGAAAGTCTGTACTGTACTTTACTACTGTGTGGGTCAGGCGTATCCTGCTGCCAGTTCAAAAATGGGAACTTATAAGTACTTACTTCATGTGTGCCACAAGGGTTCTCTTCTGCAGGAACTCCTTCCCGCAGACGGGACAGGCGTGCGGGACCCTGCCGTGCACACGCCCGTGGTTCACGAGCTGGAACTTGCGAGCGAATGTTACACCACAGTCACTGCACACGTACGGTGACAACGAGCCGTGAAACCGACTGTGCATTACAAGATGTTCCTGGAATTACGACATAGATTTAAAAAATCACAAAAACAAGTGTCTTAAATGATTAGATGCAGTGATTAGAAGTAGTGATTAGAAGTAAGCAAATAAAAACCATTTTTATTGTAAGTGGACTACATTTTAAGAAATCTGTATTAATATCTAATATATGTCGTGTCACGGTGTTTGTGGTCACACCCCTCCGAAATGGCTTGACTGATTATTTTTTGTATATTTGACAATAGGTTGTAAAGTATTTTTCTCCCTCCTACCCCCACCTCAATCGTTTATTACTATTTTATTTATACGGCGAAACAACGTTTGCCAGGTCAGCCAGTATTAATATAATATTCGTGTTTTCTCGTTTTTACTTAATTATAGCACAGTTATATAAGCACCTTTTGCGCAAAGCTCTCCCCACAGTCGGAGCAGACGTAGGGCCGCTCGCCAGCGTGGTACTTGCTGTGCGTCACAAGGTGGCGCTTCAGCGGGAACCCGCGCCCGCATTCGTGGCACACGAACGGTCGATCACGGCTGTGTACCTATAACACACTAGTTCCCTTGACACCAAAACTTATTTATTGTACGTAGTTTTGGTAAACTTAACTTATTTGCAGACATACACTTCTGAAAGAACATCCTGAACTGTCTTACTGGAAAAGATTGGTGAAACGAGTATTAATATTACGTGTTATAGTAAACCGAGAATCGAAAAATATAAACCAATTTTATATGTATTGCTATCGATAACGTTGAATTCCAACACCCTGGTAGATATAATGATAACTAAATACAAACATATCATGACCAATGAATTACACAATCAATCAGTAAGACACTGGACTGATTAAAAAGAATAATAGACTATTACAGTCAATGCCGTCACCGCCAATCCCAAAATACACAAAATCTTACCCTAGAATGCGTAACAAGGTGATGTTTCAATGTGAACGCCATTTTACATTCATGACACCTGTACGGCCGATCCGCTGAATGTAGTAACAGGTGAGTGTTGAGGCAATGTTTGCGGGCGAAAGCTTTTCCACAATGGGCGCACACGTGTGGTCTCTCACCTATAATTATTAACACATTTAGGTGCACATTAAACTAAGTTTATTTACCCTTGAATGTGTAAGGAGATGATGTTTTAGGGTGAACGCCTTCTTGCAGACGTCGCACTGGTATGGACGGTCTGTAGAATGCAATCGCATGTGTGTGTTGAGACAATGCTTGTGTGCGAAAGCCTTCCCGCAGTGCACGCACGAGTGCGGTCGCTCACCTGAAACAGAGCGGACCGCATTCGTACTTGCACTGGGGAGCGATATGTCTCACTTAACTTAAAGTTTATCCTTATTCGCTTTTACCTCTTTCTTACTGCAGAGGACCAAAACTGATAAAAATAATTACGGAAAAGAATTGGTCGCATTCCCCGCTATGTGTTGTTAGTTATGCTCTGGACTGCATTGGTAAAATCTGTGACAATTGTATGGAGGTCCAGTCCTAAATTCACCCTTATAGATCAATATTTTTATTAGTTGTCTGTTAATTTCATCCCGTACGAATATATAAATTGTACTGTTAGTTTAAGCTCAGATAATACATACCAGTATGCACTCTCGCATGTGTAGTTAAGTGGTGTTTTAGCAGAAACGATTTGCCACACTCTCCGCAAGAGTACGGCCGCTCCTTAACCACGGCTGGAGGCTGTGACGTCACCATCGTGTTTGTATTTAGCAACTCCGTCTGCGAATAAACCGCCTAACAATACGTTACTATATGACTATCAAGTATTACAACCAAAATATAATAAATGCAGCAAAAAATATTCTATATATAGTAGTGTTCAATACAAAGGCTTAGACTTTCGCGATTATAAATATCAGAGGGCCTAGTGTGAGTTCATTTCACATCAACTCGCTCTCGATAGCGAGCGTCACCGTGACGATCGACTTGATGAGAAATAAACTGACAGTAGGCACTCTAAGTATTACATGTGTAACTGGCCACTTAGCAGCGATAACAATTGCAAACTATTTATCTGGTTATGCGAAATGCACGATCGATGCAATTCAATCGATTTGCCGAGTTCTATAATCGCTTCACTACGTCGTGTGTTTTGATTCTAACAATGACTAGACTATAGCTAGATTAATCTAGTATTATTTATCATATTTTTCTTACAGAGCCAGTGTATTAGGAAGAAAAAACAATATACAGAACAACACGAGGTTTTGTTTGCTCGATTTCTCTTCTTAAGACTCAAATCGAAATGGGTGATTAAAGATTGACACAGCAGTCACAACATTATCTAAGTTTTAAGTGTTTTAAGTTTCACATTGCTTAAGTAAACTGTTATTATGATGACTTTGTGTGTGTTCATCTATAACCTCTTTACATAGTACAAAATGAAGTCGTTTTTTTTTGTTTTGTACGCTTAGATCTTTTAAACTAAGCAACGGATTTTAATGCGGTTTTCTCCAATAGAGAGAGTGGTTCAAGAGGAAGGTTTGTATGTATCATACATGCATATGATCGTATAGAAAATCCGAGAATTTAAAAGATTTGTCGTAAAAAACATGTTTTTGTGCGCTTACATTGCAAACGCTAGCTAAATCTTACGAGGTAGATCAAAATATGTACTACAGAATTGTAATCTTAAAAAGATGTACAAAAAAGTTAGCGAAGGTCCTCCTAAGGATAACTCACATTAACCATTTTTATCTTTTTATACATATTACTACTTACTACACTTTACAAAGCTAATTTAAAGAATATAGTATTGTTTCTTATGCAAATAAATACGTTAGATACTGTGTGCATTTAATGTAGGTCAAATTGCCTTTTACAGCATATATCTGTAAAGTGAACATCTTAGAGGATATCGGAGATTTAAAATGTACTCCACACTGCCACCACATTAGTAGTAGTAGTATCTACATTGCACTCGTGCGAATACGGGGCAGATCGCTAGTTCATTATATTTCAAAAAAGACAATTACATTTACTAATATTATGAAACCAATTTTATGGAAAATAAAAAAAAACCATTTGAATTTATATATTGCCCATGTTCAGAAAGCAATTAATTAGCATACTTAAATAAGACCGATACACAGGACAAGTAGGTATTTAAAATAGAGATGATGTCATAGAAGAGGTATCTATATTTAAAAGAATTTTAATTAACACTTACTTTAGGCGAATTGTTCGTTGTCCCTGGCTCCTGCTTCGTATGCAGCAAATGATGTGGATGAACAGTCGTCTGAATTGTGTCAGCCTGCGTTTGCTGCGATGTTGCCTCGGCCAAACTCTTTAAACTTCCATTCAATAACGTGTGGTTAAGTTGCGATGCGTCTATGACAGGAGTTGGTATTCCTTGAGCTTGAAGGGCTCTTTTCATTAGTATTTCGTTACATTCTTCGGCAGTTAACTGGATAGGTCCGAGTGGAGTCATGAACGGTTTAGATGCTAAATTGGTTGCTGTAATAAAAAATTTAGGAAAAATATTTGAAATACTTTTTTTCATTAAGCAAATAGGTGTTTGTTTTTTTTTTATATACAATTCATTTATTTTCTAATCTATACTAATATTATAAAGCTGAAGAGTTTGTTTGTTTGTTTGTTTGTTTGTTTGTTTGAACGCGCTAATCTCAGGAACTACTGGTTCGATTTGAAAAATTCTTTCAGTGTTAGATAGCCCATTTATCGAGGAAGGCTATAGGCTATATTTCATCACGCTAAGACCAATAGGAGCGGAGCACCAATGAAGAATGTTTCAAAAACGGAGAAAATTTATTACTATTGAGAGACGCAGACGAAGTTGCGCGGATCAGCTAGTTACAGTATATTTTCCCACCGTACGTAATTTATGAATTGCCCCTAAGAATTAAATCCTTAGTTTTTAATTAAAAATATGTGATAGGTGAAGGTGATATAAATTACCAATGTGATTGTCGATTATCCATATTACTTATTATACATGACATATCCTCCGCGTGGTAACTGTTGTGTACAGCAATTTTCGTGGGTACCGTTACAATATGAATCAAAACATAAATTAGATTGCATACATACTGATAAATTTAGAAAAGGAAACTATATACTGATGTCGCGTGTCACACGCACACACTGCAATGCGTTGTGTGTACGTATATGCAAGGCATGTACTACTTATTATCCGTACATACATACAGACATTCACGTCTTAGTGCCCGAAGGGGTAGATAATTGATTAAAAACCCCATATTTGTGAGCTATAACTTTGGTCTCGCTTTTGTAATAGGAGGCAACCCTATTATAGCCAACTGAGCACGTAAATTTATAAATTGACATACTTTTATATTTCTATCTAGCTGGTGTCCGCGAATTCGCGTGGAATTTGAAAAGCGATGCCTTAGTGGGTTCGATTCCGGACTGAGAAAGATAGCCTAAGTTACTCCTTATATAGATAACTACCTGGTAGTAAAAAATAATTCATTATAAATCGGTCCAGTCTTTTTGAATATTACCCGGAACAAACAGACAGGTATTAGTGTGTGGAGATGGAATCAGAAAATTAGCAACCAGGATGTCAGAAATCAGATTTTAAACTAGAAACTCTGGTAAGCTCATATTATGCCAAATTTAATTTGGTGCAGCATGTGTTCTTCTAATTGCAGATTTTAATGCTAATTGATAACAATCAAGTAATTTCTTAAGCTGATAAAGAGTCTCTAGTTGAGTCTCTTGATACAGCCAAACTGGTTTAATTATTTTTAATGCATATTTCAAGAATTTTTTACGATACATGTTTAACTATACATCCGAATTTTAAATACCAAACATCAATGGCTTCATGCTATGGAAAAATGGCATAGTGCCAAATCACTATACATGAGACCTTTTTGCAAGAATTAAAATTATTCAATATTCCGACTAATAACTTAGTGTAGGACGCCCACAAGCCAGGTGGAGTGACGATTTACGCAAGATGGCTAGCAGGAGCTGGATGCGAGAAGCCCAAAATCAATCTAAGTGGTGTGCAATAGGAGAGGCCTATGTCCAGCAGTGGACTTCGATGGGCTGAAGATGATGATGATGACTTCCCGTTATCATTTGTTTAAGTATATTAGATGTGTTCCATATTAAGTGAACAGTTTTTACAACAAAGTATAATAAGTTTACGGAAAATTGTGTTAAATCACTCACTTTGTATGGTGGCTGTCTGATTTTGCTGAGATACCCTGTTTAATGTATGTGCAGGTGCATCATTGACTACAAACATAGCCCGCCTGCCTGTTAATGGAGTACCTGATGTTACAACTCTTGTTAGTTGTGCACCAGAATTTGAGACGGCCACTGTAACTGCACCTACTTTCTCTTGGACCTGGGGCTTATTTGTAGACATAACAGTCAGAGTTGTCTCCGGGGATACCTGAAAATATAGTTGTTGATGGTTAGAATTAAACTATTACAAAGTTACATTTGAAACCACTTTTTTAAATATAAACTAAATGCAGTCATACAACACTGTCACAGTTTTACCTAAAAGTTTTTAACTTTTCAAATCTTGTGCTACAAATCTCACACACATGCATTTGGTCCCAAACTAATGTGTTCCTGTACTATGGTAATTTGACTGCTGATAAACATACTTATATATTTTTAGTAATTATTATATGATAGTTCCTCATTAGGGGTTGGAATCGAAACCACAACCTCATGCTAACCAGACAGGGTCATTACCACTACATCACAGGCCAGGTAGAGACACATGGGTAAGCGAGATATCAGACATTATACCAACTTCAATTATCACTTGGTATCTGTTTAATTTCTAATTTAAACACAAACTGGTACCTACTCTTCCTAAAGTTATGATTTCATTGAGCTTAAACATTTATCTATTAAGAGTAATTTTTTATTAAGTAATTTGAATTTGGTTGATTTATTGTTAATAAAAAAGAAACCACCACCTTATCATTACTCAAAATCAGAAAATCAGTGCAGTTATTCATATAAAAAAACAAATAAATACTTTTTTTTCAAAATAAATACTATGAAAACATTAAATTGTTAAATTATGCATTTATAAACTCTTACAAAATGCTTTGATGATGAGAGTATATTCAGAGTATTTATAGTCATTAGTAGGTACTGAGTTACTTGCAAATGTTGAAATTACAAATTTATATTTAAATCATAAAATAAGGTAAAGTATAATAACCTGTTTGATACTTGAAAAAAAAAATGCAGCGGAAAAAAATAATTTATGAGTTTAATTTGTTTATAATAGCCTTCCAGAAAAAGGATATTCACATAAAGTGTTTCCTAATTCAATGGGTTTGTGGTAATATTAATGGGTCTTTTTGACCATTGGGCTTTTTTTATGGGCCTGTTGGTCTAGTGGTTAGTGACCCTGAGTAAATCTGTAGCAGCGGTATAGTGTTTTCTCAATGTAACAGTGTCAATTAAGTTATTTTTACTTTAATACATTTGTTTTACACTCTGGGGACTTCTATAAACTTATAATTTATATGTTAAATATGGAATAATAAATAATGTATATCTAAATTACAAAAAACATAACAACATGTGTAAATGGCAATGCAAAAATTATAAAATTAAAAATACATTGCTGTTCATGAGTGCACAGTACTATTAAAACAGTTTCTCTAACATATACCCTGATAAAAGGCACTCAAATTTTCACAAAGTTAAGACTAGAGTTAAAAATTTAATGTTATCTAAGGTAAATACTGGCAATAATTAAGGGAACCAATTTGAATAAATAATTGACACGTTATTTCACAATAAAAGGCATATCAAAAGTTACTATTGATATCTTATTAGAACAACTATTTTTGCAGTGGATATTTTTGAAAATGGGCATCAATGTTTATGTATTACATTTTTATAATGCTAGCTGTGATATCAAAGAGAAAAAATCAAATAAATAAATAAACTGAATTCAAAAGTTTATTGTTATTGCATTAAATTCTATAAAATCAAAAGTTTTTGAAAGTTAATTAGCATTTTTTTACCTTCGTAAAGCGCTCAAGCAAAGTTTAACAGCCAACTTAAACTGAAGACTTACCGTATTTCCCAAAGTATAACTCAAACTGCTTGGGGTCTCCACCTCGCCTTTAGTAAGGTCCGCGGAACTCGTAAAGCCCCACGAGTAACCGAAGCCCGAAACATTATTAGGCGTTGGCATACACATTTTAATCACTAAATATAATTCATCACATCAGAAAATAAAAATCACTAACACAAATCCACTATTTTGATAGTAAACAGAGTCCTCATGACAGTTTTATCATTACGAACATGTATGTACGCTTTCACAACTACAAACGCACAACGCACTCATTGATCCTAATGCCGACAGTAATGTAATATCTATGTAAATTCATGCTTTCGGAGGCTATTTATGGCAGACGGACATCAATTTACACGAAAGAAACCTCGTAAATTGGTATAATCAACTCAATATAAAAGGCGGCACAAGACAACGACGCTACTGCAAGGGTTGACACGCACATTATTTTTAATGAACTAACGCATAATTAATTCACTGAACACATAGTTACATTTCATAATGATATTTTAGAACTATTTAATAGTATCAAATATCTAAAAATTAACTAAATTTTTCAATTTCATGAAAACAATCATTTTGTCGCACACACAAAAAAACCAGGCGCCATTTTATTTCATTGTTTATGGTCAATTATGATTTTTAAGAAGTCACTACAAAGTCATTCTCTGAAAATTATTTCAGGAAGAGGTAACTCTTAATAGGATTAGTATTGAAGCAAAAAAATATTTCAGTTCTGTTCTTTAAAACACTTATGAAGGTTTAGGTTTGCTAAAATTTACTTTTCTCAAATATTACATTTAGGTAAAATAAGAAACCTAAAAATCTAGCCCACTAACTCTACTCTACTTAGGTCTATGACTAAACGTTTTGATTGTTTGTGTTTTATTTACTTTCAGATCTGTCAACTTTATTTTTTCTCTAATTTTTTTTTTTCTTAATATTATTTAATAGATCGAATAATCATACGATTATTGATGAAATATGGTTCAAGAACGCATACATTTTATTAAGTAATTTAGTGTCCATTAGTTTATACGTCTACGTCTACGTTTGTATGTCTTAACGAAACGTAAAACAGCTATAACCAGAAATGTCAAAATAAGATCGGATTGTCAATCTGACCAACTTGTAAATTCGCATTTCGCTATCGTTGGAAAATAAGAAAAATTGTAACGATTATACTTTACTTATTTAGTGAATTTCGGGAACTGTATGTGTTGGATTTATTAAGAAACGGTATAACTTAAGAACATAACAATGAATCCGATGTCAATGGACAAAGATGAACCATCATCATTGTTATCATTTTCGACGAACCATCCTTTAGAACAGTTTATATTATTAGCCAAAGGAGCTAAAGGTTCAGCATGTGCAGAACTCATCAAACAGGTTCTGGAGGCACCCGGTGTTCATGTATTTGGCGAACTTCTCGAAATGCCGAATATCAAAGAGGTTATTTTCTTATAATATCTACTCCCCTGACTTGTACTTACGTTCTAATTTATTAATGTTAATGTGCCTGTATTTAATGGTCCTTAACTGTTGAAATATTTTCTAAATCTTACTACCCTCCTAAAATGCTAAAAGTACATAATAAGGTTTGATATTTGGTACTTGATTTTGACTGTCACCAAATTAAGCTAACTCTAGACAAATGTTTAGGCAGTATTGGTGATGCACGCAATTAAATAAGATAAATGTCATTATTAAAAAAAAAGTTCTTAGAGTATTTCAAGTCATATTACTTTTGACTTAACCTTGTTTTTTTAGTTGATTGTAAAGATTACTTTAATTATTACAGGCAGTTAATATGTTAATTATTATTGACCTTATAATCTTAAATCCTTCAAAAAACACTAAATTGTTAAACTAGCTATATAAAGTAAATATTAAAATATTTGTATTCTTGTCAAACATGTCTAAGCCAAATACTTGTGTTGACAATGGACTACTCCTAAAGTCCTTCACCATAGTTTTCATTCATAATACCATTTGCTTGAGCTTTTGTTTGGGGTTTCACTTCCTTTAATTTTGACATTTTAAAAAGTAGGTCATTTTCTATTCCAGAAAGTCCTCTATCTTGCCCCAAATTTCATACAAATCCCTTAAGCCATTCGGGCATGATTAACAATCATCTATCCATCTAACTAAAACATTGTTGTAAATTGTAGTTGGAATTTAAATTAAGCGTGTAATACTAGTAGAACTCATGTTGTATGCTGTGGAAGTGGGTGCGAGGGATATACCAGCTAAATTCCTCTTAATCCCGCTTAAATACCTTGGATTGCCAAAAGCTTCAGTAAGCTTTTTTCTTGAACGAATAACCAAAGCGGCATTGCTAGGCTCATATCAAATATGCTTAGGTAGAGGGGGTAACACAGCAGACAGTGGAGGTGAGCATTGATGCATTGCAAGGAGTACTTCCTAAACCAATACCTTGGTCGCAGGCACTGTCGAAGTCGCACCTATCACGCGATGGACCCGGCATCCGCATGATGAATCCATGAAACGCTAAGAAATAGGTCTTTCCAACAGTATGTTATCATGTTTTAAATCAATTTTTATTGTTATGTTTCAGCTCGAAAGTGGTACTTATGCTACTCACTATAAAACTCTAAATCTATTTGCATACGGTACATATAAGGAGTACCTTGAGAACAAGTCTGACTATTTAGAACTTACTCCTGCTCAATGCAAGAAGTTGCAACATTTAACAATTGCCACATTAGCAACACAAGAAAAATGTATTCCGTATAGTGTACTGCTCAAAGAGTTGGATATTAAAAATGTGAGAGATTTAGAAGATCTGATTATTGAAGCTATTTATGCAGGTAAGCTAAGTTATTGATATTATCAAACTACCACCATTTTGTTAGCATGCAGCTTAAGAAATTGAAATAGAGTGAGTGGAAAGCTCTGGAAGGGGCTTGATTGACTCACCTAGGCAACTTTACCTAGAAGCATAAAGATCCATCTCATGTCTAAAAATCAGAGCTCACTACCAATACTTATGTGGTTTTATATACATGTGTAAGTACTAACCAGGAAAAAATAAAGCACTGTTTTACAGAAAATAGAAATTGTTAATTTTTAATCTTTTTGGTAAGCTTTTATGTTTTTATCTAATACATTACAAGCATTGTCCATTATCTTTGCATTGTGTAGTTCTTTATCTAATACATAACAAGCAATATTGTAAGTAAAATTTTATGTTGTATTGACATATTATACTTTTGAACTCTGCACAATACCTACAGTGTTAAGTTAATAATAACTGTTAAGAAAAAAATTACTCTTAAAAGTTATTGAATAACAGTGAGAACTAATTATTTTAAGTATGTCAGCTAGGAATTTAATTGTTAAGTCTTTCAAAGCCCATTCAGATATAAGCCATTGCAGCCAATTAGAACAGATTAATCCAATAGGTTGGTTGATGTTAATTTTATGTTTTTAATTTGCGTGAGAGGTGCTCTTTTATCCATAAAATGTCCTTTGAAATAAAGCAGGTCAGGTTTTATATTGAAATAATAATTATAATTTATAATGTGTATGCTATATATAATATTTCAGATATAATTCATGGTAAACTAGACCAAGAATGCAAGCGTGTGGAAGTTGATGTTGCTTTGGGTCGTGACGCGCGTCTCGAAGATGCTGCCTCCATTGCTGATGTGCTCGCAGACTGGTGTAATGCTTGCGAAACTGTGCTCAGCTCTGTAGACAGACATATACAGAGAGCCAACCACCATAAACAAAAGGCCATAAGACACCATCAAGCTATTGAGCAAGAGGTTAGTTATATTCTTTTCTAATACCCTGTAATTTTTACCCCATTATATTTACTATATCTGATGATGAGGTGTAAACTAGTGTCCTGGCAGAGAAGAATCTGGGCTGCAAATTAAATAAGTGAAATATTCACTTTGTGTGCCTGTATGTAACTCTTAAAGTAATAAAACTATAAAGCTAAAGGGAGAACTATCCTTATACAATCCTCTCCTCTATGATAATATTGATAGATAAGTTTAAGGTATTCTCCTTCTGGCAGTGACTAAGGACCAAGTACTAGTGTAATGCAATCAAATGGAAGGTTTAACTCTCGTTTTCCCACCCATACAAAAAAAAGTACCAGTTATTGAATACTCTTTTTAAAATATGCTTTCAGATAATGTACATAAAGAAAACTTTGAAAACGCAAGTAGAAAACGAAGAATCAGCGTCGGGCGCTGGTACCGAAACTCACTCCGTACCAAAAAAGAACTCGGGCAAAGGGAAAACTCATCACCCTCGGAATGCTGCCAAGTTCTGGCAGAAAAACACATAACCTGCACCACCTTAAACATAGATGTAATTGAAATATTGTAATTTGTGATACAGTCTGTTAATAAACTCTTAAGTATGCTCTTTACTTACTTACTACTTTATATTTATAATGGCAACCCTTAACACTAGTGTTATTCATCATTATCTGTCGACGTCCACTGCGCGACATAGGCCTCCCCCAAAGAGGGCTGGGGCGCAGTGGTCTCTTTCTGTGAAGCTGTAATGCTCCAGAAAGAGACCGCTGAACGGGATCGGGAGAGGGCCGATCCCGAGCGAAGAAGACGTCGACGACGTAATGAGCAGCCGACGGGACCGCGGGCCGCCAGAGAGTGGGGACCTCTGGTGGCAGATTGATTGCTGCGGTAGGGAATGGAATGGCAGCCTGATCGCACTGAAAATGTGATCGGGCTGCAACATCTGGATAGGCTGAGAGGCAGGGAGAAGCCACTGGCTTTCCCTGAGATGGGACCTAGCTAGGTGCGGCGTCGATCTGGGGGACCTGAAATCACATGGCCCGGGTTCTCCCCAGAGCAGGGCGCCTAAGGCTGGCCGTCGGAGTGGTTTTTAGTGGAATCACCACATACTCCTGGCTCCTATATCCCCAAGGAGCCGGAGATCCGAAGGGATTTTCCACTCCGTCAACAAAAAAAAAAAAAAAAAAAAAAAAAAAGGCCTCCCCCAAAGACTCTCTGCTGTTTAACTGCTTACTTAGATTAGGTAAGTCAGGTAAGAATCTGCAGTACCCTTCAGTCAGAAATAGAACTATAGTAGTTTTTGCATTGTTTTCGGTATGATCAGGGGGTCTAAGATATTATCGAAAGGTTTAATATCGTTAGGATTATGTTTAAGGAGTATTGAAAATCGTTAAGGAAAAGGTAATAAGATAAAAATCAAATACTTGCAAGAGAATTAAAATTCTCTGAAAACTCGTATTATTATATCTCACTGTTTTAATGCATAATTATAGTAGTCGAAGTCAGGATAAACTGTTATAAATGTTCCATACATCTCTACTGTTGGATTAACATCTCAGTAGTGACATATATATTATACGATATTCGGCGTTTTACCTTCGCAAATTGACCGATACTGCCTACCTTTGGGAAGTAAGTATTGAATTTATAGTCGGGAAGGATGTCTATAATATAACCGACGTTGAAGAAGATTGCTGTCTGTCTTTACGGCTGATAGATACATCTAGTAACTTAGTAGGTATAGGTACTAAGTTTTGGACACATTTCGATATAAATAGTGTTAAATCAAAAATCGTTTTTGCCAGTAGGTATTTTAATGGCAGATAACTCATTTTATGGTATTGCGGCCTTGCTAAATTTAAACATCAGACCCTTCTTAAAGATAAAAATAAAGAGCTAAGTAAACTGTTACTTTTTATAATATACTTTTTCAAAAAACGTTTTAGTACAAAAGAAATGTCATTGTTCAGAAAAAACTCTACCATAAACATAATAGATTGTAGAATTTTGACTCTGCAACCCTGAAACGTTAATGTCAAATGAAAGAAAAGGATAAAACTGCACGTTGTTCTAGGCTACTGACTGAGAAGGCAAATCGTCGTCGAACTGATGCGGCGAGTTTGCCCGACATGAAGTACCGAGGCGAGACTGTTTTGTTGACGCAGAAGCGCAGCAAATAAAGTGCGCAGGCAGTGCAACGATTATAACGTTCGCAGGCCGCTAAACAGTGATGTAAATACCACATAAATCGTATTATATCATAAATATTGACCACCTCAAGTACTTACGACTACAAAGTCGCATCTCAAAAGGTTTCTGAACTAAGTGTCGTGATAATTCACAGCACCATAGCAACGGGACAGTGAAAAACTACGACACAAGTGACCGTCGCGTTTTACACAATGATACCGTGATATATCATAATAATAAATAGACACTAGTTTCGTCAAGAGACTCTTGTTCACCGGAGTGCCACAACTCGAGGGCCTTCGTATATTGGATGAACAGAAAGGCAAGTATTTGGTTGCCCTTTGTTAGGTCGTATAAATTCACCTTTTACGTAGGACGGCCGATATTCATGGTCAACACTGTTTACTCAATACTAGAATCTGTTGTCAAGTAGCTGGACTGTAATAATTCTTAATTGCGGTATGCGAACCTGGTAAAAAAGTTTATTGTCGGCCAGTTTGACTCCTATATTAAAACTTTCATATCGCATCATAAATTATAGACGGATTTTATGTTACAACAATACAATAATTTCAACAGGTTTGAATCGATGCATTTAAATGTGAAATATAATAATAATGTTTCGTTTGAGCGCACGTAGCGTGTGTTTATGTGGGTTGGGTTGATGTTCTTTGTTGTTGGAGTTGTCAGCTGTTCGCACGAGGAGCGCGGGGCGGGCTGAGCAACTAGTCCAACTGGTCCCGCGCTCACGCCTTGCATTACAGATTTCATTAAACCTCCGCTACTCGCACTTTCTTTCATTCTTATACATTTTAACCCCATCATTCGTACCACATAATAAACCTATTTTTAATGTACCACCGAAGTCAAGCGTACAATTAGGGTAGACGAGCACGCGACCGATTTTTTGTTGTGAAGAGGTACTCCGCACCCTATAAATAATAATAGAATGCTGTGTGTATCTGAAATAACACAGGTAGGTGTGAGGATATACAAAGTAACTAAAAGTAAATGTTTAAAGGTAAGGTAAGTTGGATAAGTGCTAGAGCTACTAAATGCTGCAGAAAGCATCAATACTTAGTGCCTATTAGTTAAGAGCGGATTTAATAATGAAAATATTGTGACCTTAATACACAATTATTGTCTGATGCTTTATTGCAATGTCCATAAACTTTATTTCGCACGTCGACTATGTTATTTCCAGTCTAACTACTCTAACTCGTTATGTCTGGTTCTTATTACATGCAAACGATTGTAGTAAATCAATTTTATGACCTTGACGATTGGGAATTGCTCAACTTAAGATTTAGCGAAATAAATACTCCACTTTAAATAGTATTGAACTACAGCGTTGAATCTTAATATTAAAAAAAAAACGGGTGAAGTGCGAGTTGCTCTCGCAAACTAAGCGTTCCTTACCCACGGAAAAAATTTGACAAATACATCTGAAAAATCCTGCAAAGGTTCTCATTTTATTTTATAGCGGCAAACATTACACACTGAAAATTTCAACTGTTTACCCATTACTGCACATAAAATGCAGGCTTTATAGGGAAGTAATAGGATTCCGTTCGCATACTTTGGATATATTATGCTAAAAACTGCTACTTTATGTTTTCAGCTACTAACACATTTGTAAACTGCTGATAAATGCTTCGTTACCGACGTTCCAAAGATTGAAATTATGCTCGACTTGGCAATGAGCTTTTCAGATATTACGTCAAGACATTGATCGGCAAACCTGTATACCTATGTACCCTGTTTATAATACACAAATATACTAAACATAAATGTACAGAAGTTGTGATGCTCATGAGAAAAACTTCTTAAGATAGAAGACTACCTGCAAGTGGTCCATATGAGTGAAAAGTTTTAGATGGTTTCTTGAAGTTCAAAAATTATAACGTTCTCCTGTAAACCACTTTAAAATGTCGATTTAAAGGACGACTTCGGCGTCACACAGAAAACTCATACTCTTAGCCGGCTTTCTATTAGCTAAAAGTAGGAGTTTGCTATGAGCAGTTCTGTTTTTAAGAACACTTCTTGAAGCGAGGGTGTACCTGTGATGACCAATATTTAAAGATTGTCATTCTGCAAGGATGTCCAGCAGTGGACTAGTATAGGCTGTTGATGATGATGATGATGATGATGATTCTGCAAGGGTGTTTTTCGGCCCATAACCATGATATACTTACCTGACCTACCCTTTATTAAACCGGATGTTTAACCTATAACCTTGAGTCCTTTTGCAATTATTAATATTATGTTATTATGGCTATTAAAAAAGAGGACCACGCCAAAACATCATCCACGAGGATTTTGAGATTAATTTACTATAATCGTGTAGCGCAAGTTGCCGATTTAAAAAATAAACTATAGGGTTTATAATAGGGTTAAATATTATTTACCAACAAACATCGATTTAATCGACACCAAACATTATCGTGGAATCTAACTGCCGCTTTTTGGCCTTTAAATTTCTTCGGTTGATCAGATAAGGTCTGTATATCTCTGATATAGAAGTCGAACAGTGCGATGGGCAATGAAATAGAAAAGCTCAAGCGGTATAAATAAAATCCATGAACTTAAGTTTCGCTAAGAATTTAAAAAGTAAGTCGAAACCCAATTTTGAGACTGGATTTCGTCTAGAAAGACTGAACTATACTACATTTGAAAAGGTTACTTACAATTACAAAAGGTTAATTACAAAGTTATAATGCATATGAAACACAAAGGGACGATGCGCGTTAGAACAATACACCATAACGGCTCAACAGAATTAAACTATATAGTAATTCAGCTTTTATTACTAAAAAACCGAATTCAAATATTATTATGTAGTTTTATTTAAAATTTACGAAGGCCAACCTTGCAGACCAACATATACATTAAACTAATAACTCGAAAAAGGTTTTGAAAATGACATTTACGTTAAAATCAAAGGTTTATTGGGATGGTTACCGCATCATCTAAAAGAGATCTTATTATATGATAATATTACTTATTGATGAAAATAATAATCGACTCTACAAAACATCCGCCACAATGAATGGCTTTGAGAAGAAAATGATATAATCAGATAGAGAAACACACTGCTGATCTCAGTATCGTATTACGAGAATGGCGGTATGCCGCTACATTTGAATATTAACAGTCGTATGATATTAAAGAAGAATATCAAATCACTATTGATGACGTAGCAATCTAGGCGAATGTTGTTGTGTGGATCATGGGTACTTTTAATCTAAAGATGAAAGAAGAAGTCACTTAAATGAGTCCGTTTCGAAAATAAAGGTGTGTGTCTAAGTATACTATGAGGAGAAGAGCATATGCAGAG